TCTCTCTCTCTCACACACACACACACACACACACACATGCATAAACACATACAAATAGCAGAATGATTCATAAAAATAGCACAATTCTTGCTAGTTTGAACTAAAATACTGCAACATTGCTTAGTAGTCAGAGAAGATGCTATGCCTCTGCAACAGATAAAGTCCTTATATGTAGAGAAGCTAAAAGAATCTATAAGATACATGTTTAAGGCTTTTTATCTTGATGGAAAACTAATGAAATGGTAAAAGCAATATTAACATGAGGTATTTACTCCAATATATTCACATTCCTGTAGCATTATGTGAAAAAGCAGCTATAAAGCAAATGAACAAATAAAAAACCCCAAAACCAAACCAAGCAAAACCAAAAAAACTGAAACTCTTCTCCTTGAAACCTCATCTTCAATTACAATTATGATGTCAACCCTACAAAATAAAATGCTGTTATCATCTCAGACCTGTCCTACTGTTGAGCATCAAGCCCTGCAGCCTTTCATGGTCTAGGTGTAAAATATTTACTGGATGAAGTAGGCTGATGGGAGAGACACAGGGTTAATTGGCAATGAACTTTTTCCTACTTACCCAGGAATGTCACATTTTTAATTTGAAGATCAAGTGGATTCTTTAGTTTGAAAGTCAGACTAATTCATTTCTGTTTTTATATTTCTAATAAAAAGGTTTTTTTTTTTTGATATCAGGAGTTGAACTCGGGTCCTTGCGCTTGTGAGGCAGGCGGCAGAACCACTGAGCTAAATCCCTGGCCCCAAAAGGGTTGTTATTAAAGACATTTTAATTTCCCTTATTACATACTTGATCCTTTTAAAAATTACTGCTAACAAAATCTTTGGATTCAGTGTTATTTATTTGAAATTTCTCATTAAATATCTACAATGGTTCCATGTAAAGATAAGACATATATATATATTATAATACATATATTAATTGCAATCCAAATAAAAATGAAACGACTGCTTTATAGTGACACACTCTCTAGCAGGTATAAATACATTGATCTTCTTAAATGCATCTCATATACTATTTTTTGTCAATGGATTTACTATTGTTCCTCATATACAAGATTCTTTTTCATAGATTTGTAAAGTTGTAGTTCAAGAGATTTTTTTTTTCTAACTAGGAGATTTCACTCAGGTTCTTCATAAACTTATTCTCTAAGAGCCCTCAAAGGACTTAGGTTTTGATATTATTTTGGGCCACTCAAATCCCATAGAGAGATCAGGCAATGACTTGACTCAGAAAATTCCACACTTGATGATCATTTACTTAAGAATTTCTGGAGGAGATCAAATGAGATTTATGCCAAATAAGATTTCCTTTCACAAAATCCATTCCTCAAATGGAGAATTTTAATGGGAACATGTACTTCTGGATGGCAGAATGGAAAAGGATAATGAGGGGAGAACAACCCTAAATTTGTAAAGCAGATTGATGTACAGAGATAAAAATCCTCCTAGTCTCACCAACTCTAGATGGTGTATTATGAAAAGATGTAAAAAATGTCAGAGAACCAGTTAGATCCCTTGATGAATCTATATGAAACTAATGTCTCAAAGACTTAAAACTTAAGCAAGTGGGTAATTATCATACAGCAACATTGGAAAAACTATTACAAAAAGGAGATCATATGGGAATTGGTTATATGATCAAGTAGGTAATAGGGAATGCTGCCTAGATGCTATAATGGAATTATAATGCTCATTAATGTATTAATGAAATTGAGAATACTATTTAAATTTGTTCAAACTTATTTTACCTCATAACTTTTTTTATTGAAGAGGAATCACAAGAGAGCTCTAATATAAGGCAATACAAGCAAGCACCATCTACTAAGTGCCAAATTCATAAACACTAAAGGAAAATAGGGAAAAGGAAGATAAGAATGGCTTTAGTTTCAGTTTGTTAATTTTTTGCTGTGTATTAGACTGTAGAATGTTTTCATGTATAAATAACAAATATACACTGAGTACTTACTGTATTTCAGACATTGTTAGAAGCATTTTATTTTCATTGTTTGACTCAATACTTACTTTATCCTTAGTGAGTGAAATGATTATTTCCATGTTATGAATGAGAAAGTGAGACATAAAGAGGTTAAATGTCATGGCCTTAGCACGCAGCAAGCTGATTCCAGTACATCAGGAAAGAATGCCATATTGTATTACATCTAACAAGAACACAAAGTATTAAGTCCAATACTAATATTTTAAATAATTAAAGAAGTAATTTTTTTTCATTTAACAGATGGAAGAATTATCCTAAGGGAAGCTCTTTGTGAAGTGTCACATAGCTAATAACAATAATTATGCATGACCTGCTGAAACAAGGAAAAGATAAAAATCGCACCATGTCTTTGGAAAGGAGATAACAGGAAAATTGTTAGGTTTCAATTGCTTATTTGAGAAGGTCATTATTATTTAATCTATAAAATGAACATCACTAAATAGTTGTTATCTTAAAGAAATAGTATTTTAAAAATAAGTATTGCCTGGACATCTAAAAATGATTGCGAACAGTTTTCAAATGTTGACTCCTAATACAGCGATTGTAAAGATTCAGTCCATTGGGTGAGATGTTGTTTTTAGAAATGATCTGCCTTCTCTGTTCATTCATATTCAATTCAAGAAGTAGAAAATTATTCTGGAGTCTTTTTCTCATTATGGCTGTGATGTGAAATTCATTTCGTGGTTGCTGAGCATCTTGAAAAAACAGTGGATGGTTGCAACTACATATTCCTCTCTAGTGATTTTACTACAACTGCTCAAATAACAGATGATACATTGTTTTAGATTGCATACTATTTATTTTATTTTGCATATATACTAGTAATGTTGAACTTGCTTAGTGTTTTCAACAAGAGTTACACTTTAGAATATAAAAATAGTACTCTAAAATTTTATAAAATGTGGGTAACAGAAATAAATAAATATGATCCATAGAAAAGCATATATGTGGTTTAAATTTATAATCAAAATAAGTAAAATATGACTGCTATAATATTTTTCTGCTCTAATCTTTTCTGCATACATTAATTACTCTAACATACCTTAAGATATGACAAGATAAATTAACTTTTAAGATTTAATTAATTTTTGATCAGAGCCCAGCAGAAAATAATATTTAAATATTAAATAGAATTATGACTTCTAGATTTCCATTTTAAGGTCTTCCATGCTAGTGTTATCAGTCACGTAGGTTCATCTGCTCAAGTCCTTTAGCTCGATGCTGATCCAATCAAAGAAGCTGTTCTTTTTGGTAAAAAGGATAAACGATTTACTCAGAGCTTGCTCTGAGGAGATAGAGGAGCTCATTTGTCTCAAATCACCGTCTCACCATGTGCAGGTGTGTTGGAGTGTTTTATAGCAAGGAACAATGTGAGAGAATGGATGCAATGAAATAATAGACACACCCCGGTTTGGTTTGTTTCAACCCTTTCTGGACACAGAGTACTCCCTCCCTTGCCTAAGGAAATGAAACTGGATTGGACTTCCTAGTTCTAGTATCTGTATATTCTGCCCTCTGTCCATTCATCTGGGCTGAAGACAGGTGGGGTGGTAGTTCATGTGGTAGGCCTGAGGAAGTTTAGAGAAGTCACTTGCCTCTAAAGGAAAAATCTTACATTTAAAGTTCCATTTTGGGGTGCTGGTTACACTAGGAGGCAGCTATAATTAATTATTAGAAAAAACTTCTTCAATCAAATCCATTTCAAGAAATCAACCAATAACAAATGCAGGTGAATCTGTGTGGAGAAAGAAATGCTTCTCCATTGTTGGTAGGACTGTAAACTCATACAACCACTATGGAAATCAGTACAGAGATTTCTTTGAAGAACTAAAAATAGAAATTCCATTTGACATGGCTATTCCCCTTCTAGGTATCTTCCTAAAAGAATTAAAGACATTATACTACAGTGATGTAAGCATACCCATGTTCATAGCAGCATAAATCATAATAGCTAAATCTTGGAAACAATCTATATGTCCATCAACAGATGAATGGATAAAACATATAGCATTTATACATAATGGAGTACTACTCTGCCATAAAGAAGGATAAACTTGAGTCGTTTGTAGGAAAATGGATGCACCTTGAGACCATGATTTAAGTGAAGTAACTCAGACACACGAGCTTAAATATTTCATGATTTCTCTTATGTGAAAAACTCAGTATATACATAAATATGAAATAAAAGACGGATAATAAGAAAAATGAGAAAGAAATAAAAGGTATTATAATCCAGCATGGATAATTTATGTAAAAGTGACCTTGACTTAGTACAATTGCTTTACATGTTTTATTTGTTCTTTGGCCTATTAGTCTGGTTTTCAATCTGTGTATATGATACTTAACTTTATTAGGTCACATAAATAAATGAATCTGATGTGGGAAAGATGAAAGAAGGGTGAAGGGAGTGAGGGAAAATGGAGAATTTAAATGTGCTGTGTACATGTACCAATTCCTTACAGTGAATGGAATTGTTATGGACTGCAAATATGTACTAATAAGTGAAAAAGCCCAAAACAAACACAAAAATCAAATCCATTTCAAAGAAAAGTTGATTTATTTTCACAACTAGGTAACATTTCTCCCAAAATTTGAAAAGATCTTTAAAAGTTACTTTACTTTGTCTTTTAAAAGATATTTCTAACATTTGACAAAGATTTTGCTTACACTTTCTAGAGCTTTTCCCATCCAAGTTATGATTTATTTTTAGTGCAGAATCTAATTCATATACTACTAAAACTTTAGGACATTATTTCTAATTTCAATGATATGGACATATCTCCAGAATAATTTATTTTGGGCTTGTTTAGCATTACTTGAGTGTAGTCAGGATAAGATGGATTAAATACTTCTTACCAATATGGTCCTGAAAACGTAAGTTCTGAAATATACTTCACACTAGTTTTCAGAGAATCAAAGCAATGAATCATGTATATATATATATATATATATCAGTTATTTGACAATGCATTTATTTTTAGCCCTGTAGAAAAGAAGACCCGTCTGGCCAATACTACTGATACTAAGTTGGAGCACCTTGGTGTACAAACCCTCCTGGCATGTCTCTAATGGCAAGCTGCAAAGTTTTGACCTCCTTTTCTGCTTAATAAAAACAGACTCAGGTAAGTGAGAGTAAGAGAGTGTATGAATTAATATTTTTAGAAAATTTAATGTTAAAAAAATAGCACAACTATTTACTGGTTTTACATGAAGGCCAGCATGTAGGTTTGAAAATGGAGCATATATAGAAGAGTTATATGAAATATACTTAGAAAAGAACCATATAAAATGAAATTAGAGGTTTTTTAGTTAGCAGCAAACTCAATAAATCAACAATAAGATGATAGGGTACAACTGTTCCCTTGACTTTTGCTGTTGTTAATGCAATATTAAAAGGTACAGACGCTTAGAGAAAAGATGCTATTCTGGGGAAACACAACTGGGACGTACTTTCATTCTTGCCTGTACGTATATAAAGTAAGGAACAGGCTGGAACATATCCAGGAGAGAACACCAAAGGGCTGTGGTTCTGGGGTAAGTATTCTATTGGTTGAAAGCAGTGAAACTGTTTTGACTGAAAAAGTGAAGGTGCAAGCCTCTAGTGGAGTGATGGTGAGCCCTTTAGAGATGAGCGTCCAAACTACAACCCCAAACCCACCTATTTATCGCAAAGTGCCAACACTGCAATTAAACCTGAATACTGAGGTTTTAGTTTAGAAAAAAAAAAACCCCATGCATTAACATCTTCTGGCTTAAAAGCAAAACAAATAACACATGTGCCTTAGGTTTGCCACCACTGCTCTAGTCCTGTAATCAGGCAGTAGGAATGCAGACAAGGGCTATGGAGATGTACATTTTGACACTACACAGAATGGTGTTTTCCTAATCACTATCACTATTCATCAATGGGCTAGTTTGTCTTAGAGGAGTTCTCAGCTATGTGTTACTAGCAATATTAAGTATAACCTTTACCTTTCTTTTCTTTTTTAGAATCCATTACAAAGAAGATGTGGTTTGAAAATAGCTACATAATATGACTTAAAAAGGACTGAATTACAGTAGCCAACAATATTCTTCATTTTGTTTTCTGGATGCAATATAACAGAGAAAGGAGGCAACAAACAACTGGTCTTGGTTTTGAGTGAGACAGTGACTGAAGTGAAAATCTGTTTTGGTTGCAGAATATAAGGTTTACTGAATAAAGATACTCATCGGGGATGCTGCATCAGTTGCTATGTGCCAGATCAAGGTGCTTTGCTTCATTCTCCATGTAGATCTTTTTGTTATAAGCATGCAACCCGTAAGATTTTTCAAGTGTCATTATTCAGTGTGTTGGCTGTTGTTTTTGTTCTCTTTTATAAGGCCCTAGGTCTTTCAGTGGTAAAGTAGTTTTCTGAGGTTCTCAAGAAATATAATTGCAGCTTGCGAAGGTGACCATTGTTATCGGACTATTTTACTATTTGATTATTCAATCCTCCTCCACTTCAAGTTAGCCCGTGACTATATTCTGATTCTTTAAAGCACTATGTAAATCTAAGAAGCAAATGCAACGTCTAGTTTTACTGGATACCGTGTACATTAGGTTGAATAATCCTAGGAATTTTGTTACGGTCGTGTCGTGCAGAATGATGACCTTCTCGGCCCACAGGAACATCATTCACTTACTCAGCATTGATTTTTCTCATGCTTTCCTTTATGGTATTTAAGCAGCTCTCACATCTCTCCTTTTACTGAGGTGGAATGCTAGATAATTACAGACAGGCTTTGCTTCCCAGATTCATAACGCTGTATGTTTCTAAATCTTTTGGAAACAAATTGATATGTCACACTGATTTTTAAGTGAAATCATTGTTTTCAGAGGTATGGTATAGTAAAACAATTTTCACTGAAAAAATATTTCAAATGCCTCTGTACCAGAAAAAAGTTTACAATTAAAAAGATTACATCAACTATATAATTTTTACCTAAAAATTTCCCAATAAAAGTAGAAGTCTTAATGGAAAATAATAAATACATATAATTTCAATCTCTAACCTTATAAAATAGAAATGTGTTAGTTTTAAAAATATGTTTACGTATACTGGGTTTATAAGAGTTGTTTTAGAGCAAAAATTCTTTGTGAGATCAAATTCATTTACAACTTTTCAGCAAAATGTTATATTATTGTCTTCTAAAATCTGTTTTCCTATTATTCAAATTGAGGCAAATAGTCTCATTCTTTTTTCATGAAACTAGTAATACAATTTTCTCATGCCTCTGTTTGGTGCATCCTCGCTTTGTAGAAGACATACCCCTAATATTTTCTACTCAGTATTATAAAAATTTTCAGAAATGGTACTTTAAAAAATCACATTAGCCACTTAACTTCACCTCTACTGATTGTAAGAAATTATACAAAGAGCACTCTGGAAAGAGGTAGCACATTTAGCTCACAGGATTTAGCTTTATAAATACTAATAACACTTCTGGAAACATTATTAGACCATTTATTCCATCTCCTTTGTAATATACATTTCTTTCTTTTAACCAAGGCTTTGTATAGTCTCATTTTAATGTTTCAGCTGAAGGAACTTTTATAAGCTAAAATACTTTCTGATTTGAATTACTCTTGCTCATAAAATTATTTCTGATATTTAAATTATATTCCTCTTCATTCAATTGTTTTTTATACTATCTTAGAAAATTAATTTTACTGATTTCCAACTTAAACCATTGTAGGTAATCTCAATATTTTCTCTTTCCTAAGCACATACTTGTTTTGCTTTTAAATTTACAGAAAATCTGAAGATAATTAATTTCCTTCAACTTTTCATCTTTAATGAAATGATGCAGACATTCTCATTTAAGTATTATATCTTAATCTTAAAAATAGTAAATTAAGGTAATTATATTAGAAGTTTTTGTCAGTTTTCCTATTTATTTGATATTTCCATCTGATATACAAAATACCCATCAAAAATATTATGCCCACAGTGGAGCTGTTGACTTTCTTCTTTCAAATAAATCCCAAGATAGAAACCTAGACATTGTCCTTTAACTTTCATCTTTCCTCAGCCACATCACACATTTAATCTAACACAAATCCTGGTATTTGTAACTTTAAAATGTAGTCTGAATCCATCCATATATTTTTTATCTCTCCTGACACCACCTTTGTGCAGGCCACCACTATTTCTTGCCTGAACTTTCATGAGTCTCTTGTCTGTTCTCCCTGCTTCTGTTCTTACACTCTTCTAATTTATTTTTCACGAAGCAGCCAGCATGATCTTTGGAACGCATAAGTCAGATCATGTCAGTACCCACGTTAAATCTTCCAGAGGCCTTCCTGTTCCACCTAGAATAAAGTCTGAATTGTGTGGCTTACTGGTTCATGCCTGTCTTTCCAGTCCCATATGAAACACATTCCCTTTCTCCCTGACCATAGCCGCACTCGCAGCAGTGTTACACAGGTCTATGTTGCAGCCACTGTGCCTTTCTGTCATTTGTTGACATCAGAAATCTAACTCTATTGACATCAAAGTCTTTTGCCTTTTAATTTTTTTTGCCTTTCCTTCTCCACACTCTTCACATGGCTTTTTCCTCTTCTTTTTTTTCTTCTTAGGGTCTCACCTTAAATGATACTTTTTTAGAGCATTTCCATAGCTACCATAACAAAAGCTGGGCTCTCTTAAAATCATTTCATCTGTTCATATTTTATTACAACTCTCACAAGCTATAGTTACATTTTGTAATATAATAATTTCTTATTTATTTTTCTAGCTTCCAATAGAATATAAACTCTGGAGCATTAATCAACCATTGCTTTAAGGATTCCACTTCTTTTATTTTATTTATTTATTTTTTTGGTACTGGGGACTGAACTCTGGACCTTGCTTGCACTTTCCAGGCAGGTGCCGGCACCACTGAACAAAATCTGTGGCCCTCCACTTCTTTTAATAAGAAATGGTATTTAGAAACCAAGATCTGGGTTTTAGACGTGCATATGGCAATGGAGATAATTATTTCCAGTTCCTCATAGTGAATAAAGCCAGGATTCCCCACACATATCTATTTATGTTTCATGTATTTATATGTCTCTATATTATTATTAAAAACATGGCCTGTTTTCTTTCAAAAATCAACAAGGACTGAGGAAGTATTTTACATTAAAGAAGACTAGTAAGATACTGTGATTATCTTTTTAAATTCTATTTTTATTTATTTTATTTATCTTTTCACTTTTATAAATCCATGTTTGCAGTACATAATGATTACATTCACCATAGGGAACTGGTACATGTACATAAACACATTTCAACATCATATTTGAAAGTAATGTGTCATTCTGAAATGGATCCTAGATTGGAAAAACTTTATGATTATATGGACTGTGGATTAGGTAATAATATTGCAAAAATGTTAAGTGTCTTGATTTTGATGATTGTCTTGTAATTAAGCATGGAACTTACCTTGTTCTCAGGAAATACATTATTAATTGTTGGGGTGCTTATCATTAAAAAAACAGCTATAATTCACACAACTCTCTGCATCCTCATCTATTGAGAGGAGAATAAATTACTAACAAATGGGGCAAGATATAAATAAGTGAATATGAGTAAAAGGCATATGAGAGCTTTTTGCTACACAAATTTTTCAACAGGCTTATATGTAAAACCAAAAATTTACATAATTATTTTTCAAAATTTGCACTGTGTCTCATGACACTGCCATGAATGATTTAGGAATGAAATGATACTTTTTCTTTACCAAGTAAAAAGTAAATATCCTGAGCTAAATAGCAGTATCTACAACACTCAAAACCAAATTTTTCACAAAGGACAAATGAAAATAAGATTTATTAATGTCCTTTTTTCTTAATTAAATCAACTTTATAATTGATTTATTCAATCTTTACTAGCCGACCAAGTATAACACCAGATAGATTAATATTATTGCATAAGGTTTTTCCTACACAAAGAGAAAATCTCAACTGCTTAAACTTGCCTAAAGCACTTTCAAAATGACTACCCAAGTGACTTCTCAAATTCCTAAGCTATTATCTGTCTTGTTCAAATCCTTTTTCTAACTTTTCCCCAATTACTCCAACCATATAATTGTGAAGCTAAGATTCCTATAGACTATCTCTATCAATAGATCAGGATAAGGAATGATAAACCTCTTAACAAAAACTTAATTCTGATTCTTTCCCCAGATTAAGGTATCTTAGCAACCTGTGAAGTATGTTATCTGCTGATTCTATCATTCTGAGCACTTTCTTGAACCCTTGAGCTGACCTTATACCTGTGTGTTTCCCCTCTTCTTGGTTTTGTTGGTCTAGGTTATAGAAAATGAGATCGACAAACATAAAGCAATGTGGCCACACATATCTAAATGTATTTAGCTTTTAACATGACAATTGGTTGTTTATAAATTTATGAACTGGAATCTTTATTTTTTTGCTTTGTCTCCTGGGAATTACATGTCTAGCTCTGATACACAGGTGGCAGAGATAAGGAATAAGGGCTTATTTTTAGCTAATATGAACTTTTAAAATGACAGAGGGTCAAAGTGTAATGCAGTGGCGACACATGTACTGTGGTAGCATTTCCATGAGGATGTTCCTCATTGCAAGATTCCTACTTCTAAAAGAGCATCCAACTACAAACAAATTCAAGTATTTTGAGTTTCAATCTCGGGACACTAGTTGATAAAATCAAAGAACTACTGTTGATTGGATTGAGAAATTGCTTTTTACCATTTGTTGTGCTTTCTTTAATTTGACTTTACCTCATGGGCTACTTCATCTCAATTTCTATCAATAAATCCTCCTCATCTACCCGACTGTATGGGAATGTTGTGGATTCAGCCTTCAAGCCTTTAAAAAAGTTTACCTCCTCTTATTTGCTGGGTGACCTCATGCACTCTCATGCCTCAAATATCATTTATTCTCTAGACCCTCATTTTTTTGTTGTCTAGATGTATTCAGAATTTGATTCAAGACTCAGTGCAGAGACTTTGTAATCCCTAGGTGTATAAATGTAAAGGCATCAAAAAGATGTGAAAAAGCAAAAACAAAACTCCTGGTTGTAACTCTAAATCAGCTTTTGTAAAGGGCTACTCTAATCCTCCTGTTACCAGGACAAAATAATTCTTAATTTCTCTTTCTCTTATATTCCTCATGCAATACCATTAGCAAATCTTGAGGCTCTATTTTCAAATATCAAAAAACACCACATTATTTTCACTCTAGTCTAAATAGCCTTTCATCTCATCTAGAATACAGTTAGTCCTCCCTGTCCCCTATAACCCCACCCATGGGCACATGTTCAAGACCATCAGTAGGTAACTGAAATTGCAGATAGTACTGAACCTTTCCTATGTTTTGATGCTTTTACCATCTTAACAAACATTTATCACTTATTGTGGACATAACTTTTCCATTTTGACATTTGATAGAAAAACTAGCATGAATTTCTTTTTTATTCACCATTTCATGGATGGAATATTTGTTTACAACATACATCTTAACAAATTCAGCATGTAATTTGTTCTTTCCTTATTAAGTCATGAACTTTTACCTTTACATGTAAGGGAAGTGATTTATGGCTTCACTTTTTTACATTGCAATTTTAATTTCAGCATTATTACTCTCATGCTTTGGCACCATTATCAAGTAAAAAAGAATTACTTGAACACATACATTGGGATATAACAGTAATTGATCTGATAACTGAGATGGCTACTAAGGGACTAACAGGCAGGTAGTGTGCATAATGTGCTTCTGCTGGATAATGGGAAGGTAGGAGATTTCGTCATGCTACTCAAAATGGTGTGCAACTTAAAAACACAGATTGCTTAATTTTGGAATTTCCCATTTAATATTTTTCACCATAGTTGACTTTGACAAACAGAAACTGAAGAGTGTAAAGCTGAA